GGCGGGCTGCTCCGCCGCGGGCCGCCGGGCAGGGGGCTTCCACCCACCCAGCCCCACGCACACGCACACGCACCCCGCTCCTCACACACACATATATGTGCGTGCGTGCGCGGTGTTGGCTGCGCTGGAAGTAGCGGGCGGTAGACGGCGAGGAAGTCTCGGCAGCCTCCTCCGTCGCCCGGCGCTGTCAGGAATAGCGGCGTGAGAGGAAGAAAGGGCCTGGGGCACTACACCCTGCCAACGAGTTCCCTGCACCAGCCAGAAGGACTCCAGCTACATGGGCAAACGCCTGGACCAGCAGCCAATGTACCCCCAGTACACCTACTACTACCCCCACTATCTCCAAACCAAGGTAGGGGACGGCGGGGCCGGGCGCTTGGCGGGTGATGGAGAGCGGAGCGGCGCAAATTGCGGGCTCGCCTCTTCTGGCTGGCGATTTTTTTTTTTTTTTTTTTTTTTTTTCCTTTTTCCGTCGCCTCCTCGGGTTCGGTGTCGCGCAGAGCCGAGCTGGTAGGCAGAAAGCGGGCGTGAGGGAGGCAGGAAGGTTACTGTCTGCCCTCCCCTTCGTTTCTTTATTTAATTTTTTTTTTTTTTCCCCCTCAAGGGCTGCTGGCGTCGGCTAATTCCTTTTATTGTTTGGGGAGACCGGTGTGGTTAACGCCATCGTAACACCGGGCAGGTAGCGTGTTTATTATGGTATGGGATAAAGATTGCTCTGGACAGCATCAGGCACGGAACACTGTTTTGGTGGCTCATCCAGTGATTCTGCTGTTTATTCGGAGCTTAAAAGCATTTCGCCGTTAGAAAAGCTGTCTGTGGCAACTCAAACTTTTAATCAGCTGAGGAGGAGATGCTGTGGAGCTCGGAGGAGAGCTCGGAGCTAACCGACTGCAAATCTGGTGGAGTTTGTTTCAGTGCATTGCGCTGCTTTTAGTATTTCATTAAATATTGAGGGTGATACGTCTGCACTCTGTTGCATTTAAAAGGTCTAGAAACAGAGGGTAGCTACTTTCAGAGAGCGTATCCAAGCGCACACGCTTCCTTTTTCTTTCTTTTTTTCTTAATAATTTTTAAAATGCCAGCAGGCTGGAAAGCAGGCCTGCATCTCCTAGAGAGGCTGAGTGAAGTCGGTGCTACCTGGCCACGAGTTAGTTAATTAAAGCTTTATTTTTCTAATGCTATTGTATAATAGTCTGCTGTCTGAAAAGATTTCCTGTGCGACCAAGGGACAGTAACAAAAGAAATCCCTAAACCGAAAGTTTGCAAACCCTGTTAGGACACTGTATTTAAAAAGGAAAAAAAAGGAGGGGGGGGGAAAAAAATACTGTTCTCAAGTATGACCTCACAGCCACAGATTAACAGTTTCAGTCAATAAACTAACGTCCTTCAGGGGTAAAAGAATTAGGCAGGGCACACACACAGGCGTATGGCACTGCATGCACATATACACACTGTGCTTCTCTGGCAAATCTAACACATGGGACGTTTGACGTGTGCGTCTGTGTGTGGTGAAGTGCCATGGGGGAGGCTGACTTCTCCAGACTTTTGGTTTGAAGCATGTTGATCTGGCTGCAGTTCTGAAAGGATAAGTCATATTTCCTTGTTAATAAAATTTCTTTACTCTTAACCTTTATAGCCTGACTACTGCATCATATAAATTAACTAATTGTCAAAACTGTGATTCAGGCTGGTTGGAGTTGCGATGACACCAGAACCACTCAATATGATTACAGCCTTGTAATTCACGGCAGGGTTACCTCTCGCTTCTTTGCTCTCCTGTTTCTTTCACTGTATCGTGCAATTTTTTTCTGGTATAAAATTTAGCCTTTTTTAATTTTGTATTTAGGAGTGATTTTTGGCTTTTTTTTTCTTTCTTTCTTATTTCCTTTCAAGGTCGATCTAAATTGCATTTTACCTTTGCGACCATTTAGGGTGTATTGTTGCTCTTGCAGCAGCAGCCGGTCGCTAGCTTGACTGCAATATTGCCTATAGCTTTAACTGTTTGGGGGATTGGGGGACATAGACTGATGCTATTCCTCAAAACCTGGCAAGCCAAGGACATGAAACAATTGATGGTGTTTTTTTGAAAGAACAATAGCCTCGAGTATTGGAGGAGAAATATTGGACATTCCGTGCCTTTTACTCACGTAGCTTACGTTTTGCCAGTAGTCCTTTTTTTTTTTTTTTCTTTTTTGCTCATTTTTTTAACTTTTGTAAAATAAGCTTTTTGAGGCGTTTAAGCCTGTATTTGAGCTTAAAATAGTAATAATAGCTTTTCTGTACCGTGGCTTTTTTTTTTACCCAATGCTTTAAAAAAATAAATTAAATGCACTTTTATAGCCGGTATATAAAATTATCAACCCCGTGAAAAGTCATGTGCGTCTGTCGTTGCACACATGCACTGTTACTGTAAGGACAGGTAAAATTTCGAATTGGTGATACATTTTATATGGCATTAATTTTTCTTTTTTCCTTTGCTCTACAGTTAAGAGCATATGTAAAACCTAAATAATAAACGCATATACACACGCATATATATATACACACGTGTACAAGTATTTCTCTTCTATAGACCTTACGAGTTTAGAGCAGTGCAGACGGGCAGCATCTGGATTTTGTTACCTTAAAGCTAGTCATCAGCTTCTGGGACATTTTAAAGCAGTTAGATCCATTGTATGTCTAAAGCTAATAGTCGGGTAATCAAATAACATTGTGGTGGAGAGCTGTATCTTTTATCATGCCTATTAGAGCAACACATATTAATAAACCCCTGTATGATTCCAGCTGTCCTGTGAGCTCCAGCTTTTTATTTTCCAAAAACCAATGTGTTTTTATGCTCATAGTCATGCACGCAGAGGGGGCGTGCATTCATTTGTAATTAAGAAAGAAATTCTAGGCTTTCTTATGGCATTTGCGTACGGCCTCTGAAACGCAGACGGGCCGCGCGTTCAGAAGGCAAAGTTTGGAAATTTGTGTTCCCTGGCGCGTTTGGGTGAAGCGCTGCTTTTGCTTCGCTTGTTTGGTGAAGTTGTCTCGGCTCTTCTTTGAGAAGTACCGCGTTACTGTACATCACGTCCTTCTCACGGGGGAGCACGGAGCTGCGCAAGATCTCAGTCTACACTCTGTGTTTGTGTCTTGTAATGTAGCTAGCGTGTTGTTGTGCAGAAATGGTGTAAATGAATAGCTATATGGGTAATGGGATTATAAATAGAAAAAATGGATTCCATATGTTTGTCTGATTGCTTTAAGTTTTTAGTGTTTTGTAGCCTTTTGTGGAACATGAAGCACGCACTCTTATTATTCAATTTACTTGTGCTCCTTCATTATCAGATGCCACCGCTGAAGCTAAAACTTTAATTACAGGTTTAGACAAACCCGTTGTCATCCAAAAATGAAAAGAGGGGGGAGGGGAAGGTCAATTTTTACGAGACAATTGCAAGGAATTTAATATGTCTCTTAAGGACAAGCACTGAGTTTGAGGAAAGACATAACCTGATTTTTCTCATTTTGGCATGACGCTGTCTGACAACTGCAGTTCGAAAGTATAGTGTTAGAACTTCTTTTGGCAGATCTTGAGAGCGGAGTCCAGTTGTCCTAGGAGTTTATTTCAGAATAAACATTTTTTGGTTACTGTTCTAAGCGAAGGATAGTCTTGCGTTCTTGCTGCAAAGAATATTGCACGGAGGTGGTTCAGCTCATGTGTATCTGATGAGAATCTATAGTAGTTTTTTATTTTATTTTGAGACGTTAAATAAATGTCCTTAGTTGCACCCTTGCTGATGGTGTAACTACTCAAACAACTGGTTTACAGGAGTCTGTTGTAAATTGTCACATATGAAATGGTAATGATGCCAAATCTTGCATTGTGGTCTGAATTTATTTCTTCAGTTTCTTGCTTGCCAAAGCAAATTCTCTTCTCTTTGCCATTTTGCCCAGTGAAAAACAAAACTAAGCACTATGAAATATCATGTAATGATGTGAAAAAGCGGGAAAAATATTAACCGAACTATTTGAGTATATCTGAAAGAGCCTCTTTAATTGAGTAGACACTGTGTTTTATCTTTGTCCTCTGCAGCTTATGATTAGACCTAGAGCTGGGGTAAGCTTTCTCTGCAAGCAGTCTACTGAAAAAAACCTGAATCACTTGGGTAGAAAGGAGGAGGTGCCACAGTTACCTGCTGACAGGAGTTGTTTGGTTTACGATCTCTGTACCTGCATTTGGGGTAAAAAATATGCCAGTTTAGCAGCTATTGCCGTGCAGTTTGCTTTCATGCATTCTCCAGATATTTCCTATCTATTAGTCGTGGTTCGGGTTTGGTAGTTTAATTCTCACGGTGTTGACTCTTTCAGCCTTCTGACTGGGCAGCATACCCCAAGTGAAGAGGTGGCGCTTACTGTACCCACGATACCTCTTCATCTCTATATGCCTGATGCACATGTGAACACATGCAAAAGGAAGAAGTGTGATTTCCCAACACATAATGTGAATAAAATCCTGTCTCTATGGATGTGAAAAGCGTGCAGACTGGGCTGCAGGCAAGAGTGGCTTAATGAGCGTGTCTTTGAAGTGACAGATATGCGCCCCAGCTGAGGAAAAAACAATTGGGAAAATTCAAACAGGTGTACTCAGAAGAGTTTAAGCTCGATAAAGTCATTTTACAGGTACACATTTGGGTGTGTGTATGTGTCTTGTTTCCTTTTTGCCATTTTTAGGGCATCCTTTGGCACGAAGGAATCGGGGACCTCTTTCAGTTGCGTGCCATGAGCACGCCTCGCTCCATCAGCCTCTTTTAGAAGGTGTATTTTTGGAATTGGCGCAAAGCTCTTGCCTCTCTTCACCTTGTACCTACAAATCCCGTGCTTTTTTTTCACTCACGTTTCTGTTTAGTGGGTTTACCGCATTCCCCATGTTTGGCCATCTGGCCATACAGAAGGCCTTGAAGAAAGTGTTCCAGATACAGAGATGCCTGACAGGGCTTCTCTGGCTGGTAGTGTTCAGATTGTGTTTGGTGCCTGGTGTGAAGCAGGGGTCAGGTGTAAGGAGTAATTCATCAACCACACACTGATTTCAGGCTGCATTTCCAACCATCTGCAGCTTGGATTGCTGCCAGAGCTCAAAAGTCTAGCTGGAGCCCATGTGATCGTGCCAAAGTAAAGGCAAACACTTGCAAATAGAGAAATGCATTTCTAGGAATGAAGTTCGTTCGCACTTAGCCCCTGTTTGATTCAGTACATTGCAGCGTGTTTTAAATGCCTCCAAGAGCTGCCCGAAAGAAATATGAATTCGTTTAAATGCCATTTAAAAATATTTAAGCCTGGCTGTAATTTTGATGGTAATATTAATATCTAACT